CATCATTGGTTGCTTGGTTTATTTTAAGGAATGGGAAGTTCTGAAAAGCAAAACCCGTTAAAGGGTTTGTTTGGTGCTTAGGAGTGGGGAAAAGAGGAAGGTTGGCAGAATTTTAATGATCCCTTGCTGACAAGTTAGTATCTGGCGGTGTAATGACTGCTGGGGAAACTTAAAGCTGTTTGGAGTCACGTGAGTTATCCCAGTCCCCTGGGCAGTCTTATGGTTGATGTTGGAGGGGCTTATCTGATTGCATTTCACTGTTTATATTTTCTGTAACATGGGTTAGATGTCTATCACAGTTCATCAGTTTTCAGAAAGGCTTCTGTAGTGTACCACAACTTGTGCAATAGACCCTCTGTTAGTGTTAGTTATTACAGTAACCACTGTAATACTAGTCCAGCAATGAAACTCTGCAGCTTTGCTTTGACTAAGTGGAAAATGGTTGAATTGCAGACTTTAAAGCAAAAATGTTGTTCTTACTGTTGTACTCAATAACGTTCACCTGGTTCTACCCCTCTGCACAAGATTGCAAACTAATCTTAATTAACTTAATCTAAATTTTACTTCATGCCAGTCTTCCTTGGTTTTCAAACCTGTTGCATTAACAAAATAACTGGGAAAGCTTGGATTTCCATGCATTTGTAAAGAAACAACACTTTCTGTGTAATTGAAATCTTGAGTGTCACGGATAAATTGTAAATACTTGAAGAAGTATGTGTCATGGGTGGGAATTCTTTCAGGATGACATGAACAAGACTGGCACAAACTGCAGCACATTTTCAATTAACTTATTTTTCTTTTCCCTGAGTTTACAATGCGTGCAAAATGCTGATATGGTTCAGACAGCTGTTCTGACAGTGCAGTAGAAGTAGGTTTAATATTAAGATAGTCCCAGCATATGAGACGGGGGTGATGGGGGGGGGAGCTTTTCCTGCTGCTTTCGCAGCCCTGGATTGAAGATGAAAAGGCATGGTTTAAATTAGAATTACAGAGTGAGAGCAACCCCCCTGGAGCATGGAGAACAGGGTCTGCTGCCTCTTCCCTTCTTCTATACCTTTCAGTCTTGTGTGTCCATCCTTATTGTGCTGCCTTATCATGTGATTCACTCCGAATGGGAGGAGATGAGGGTGACACCAGTCCCAGCTCAACTTGGGTGCAGTTCTGCAGCAGGCAGTTAAGGCTGATCCTAAAAAGCTGCTGCCTGCCCAAATACTGGGACAATTGGGAGTTCTTAGTTTAACTAAGTGAACCGCATTGATTAATGGCCACTGTTCTGCACATACAAGGCAATAAGATCCCAAAAACATTAACACAGAAAAACCTTCATCAACCTAGGCTTAAAAATTAAGAAACAAGGCAAGTCATTAAAGAATGTATTTTACTAATAAATCACATTTGAAATGGCATCTATGCAAATGAGCAGCTTAAGCAGGGCATGAGTGGGACCAAATTTGTTTCTGTAAAAAGATTTACACACTTTTAAATGACATGTTTGAAATCGATTGAGAGGAAAGAAAAGAAATGAAAAACCTGATATAACAGTGGTGTAAAATTACACTTACAGTAATGGGAGAAGAGAGTTTATCTACTCCTAAATGTCATTAATTCATCTAATTGCATGTTCTGTCTTTCTGTTTGTGATGTCTTACATGTGATGATGGTTTTAGTGATAGAGTAATTTAACAATATCATATGAAAGAAATAAGTGAACCTCTGCCTATTCTTCTATTTCATTACTTTCCTCCAAAGCTCTTTTGAACTCCTATAGAAGTAATGCTAATTTCCAGTAACAGTGTGCCTGCTGGCTCAAAATTTATAGTGGTTTGTCCTACACTCCTATTCTGAGTCCTTCTAGTTCCTGACTGATGTGAGTGTGAAGAAAACTTTACCATTCCCCCCTCTCATGCTATTTTTATTGTGGACCTGGTGTTCTCTTTCTTCCTCTTTCTCCTCAAACGTGTTGGTGGTACAGCAAGAACATTGCTATATTGCACAACTCTTCAAATAAAAGACCAATGAATTTTTCTTTCTATCTTTGGTCTATCTGTAGAGAAATGCCAAGCTATATACAACTGCTTGATGTAGCCATTAAAGGCATCTATTCATGTGCTTGTCAGTTTTGTCATCTTTTTGCTTCATGTGTTGCCCATGCTACTTTTGGCATCTCCCTTCCTTTCAAACCTTTACATGCCCAGCAGATAGTTTCCCCAGACCTAATGAGGCGAATGTAATTGATGTGTTTGAAACATCTCAGTGTCTAATTTACTCTGGTATAGTAAAATGAAGGCAAGGAAAAATAGTTTGTGTTGTTCTCCAAGTAGACACATGTAATTACATTCCAGTGACTGTAATCCCTGTATTAGCAAATGAGCTCTGTGTTTGAAATGCTGAGGCATGCGAATTTTGAATGTGCTCATGTACAAACTGCTTGGGTTGATTCATGGCAAAGTTGTTCCCATCTATGTATGTGTAACTGATCATCAAACACAAATGAAACATGCCAACACTCACACAAAATGCTCTAGGAATTCATCTCTTCTTTTTTATGGGTGTTACCTTCTAATTGGCTTTTCATACTGTACTCTCAGGAAGAAGCATGTTCTGTACCAAACTAGAAAGGCTTAAAAAATGCAAATAATGGAGAATGGCAGCTAAACTAGTCTGGTTCACACCAGACACAACCCGCTGGTGTGGATTTATCTGTCTTCTTGAACAGGTGCTCAGGAGAGGAATGATACCCAGAATACAGTTTTCTAACACAATTTTATTTTTAGTCAAGGAAGAGAGAGGAAATACCTACAAAACTTACATTTTAGCTACTGCTTCAAGTCTTCTTTTCATATTTCACATATTTCTCAATTATGAAATCACATCAGAACTGTCCAAAATATCCTTTACTGTATTCCTGAAGTTCTCCAGTGAAAAATACTTTGCTAACAGCAGAAAATGTTCTATATTAATAATGGTTTGGAAAAAGTGGTCTTTCACAGAAATTCAGGCTAAATCACCAGTCAATTAAAATCTGTGTTGCTACATGGATTTGTGCTGTCTGCAAACCTGAGCTCCTACTCCTCCTTGAAGGCAAGGGGGTTGAAGTGTGTGTTTGGGATAACCTAACACCTGGCAGTGGGTTGTCTCACCTTGCTCAAGATACCAACTGCCCCCTGGGACCTTTGTTCCCTGGATGTGGCTTGGTTATGTCATCAAATCAGTGCACTAACAAGAAGAAATCCTCCCAGAACATCTTAAAGCTCAGCATTTCCTGCCAGTATTTCAGATCAGATCTTCACTGCAACTGAACAGACAACTTCCATCAATTACACAGTAAGTTGTTTGCCACCCGGGCAAGCGACAGTTGACAGCTGGCACTGAGTAATCAGGAAGAATAGGGTTGGTTGAATATCAAAAGTGGGAGACACTGAGACAACCTGCTCTTCAAAATGTGTCTGTCACTTGGCACATCTACTTCATATTGTGATCACTCCTGGTTCCTCGTTGACTTTTGGTTTTTGAGCAGTAACATATTTACTGAATAATCACTAAAATGACTTGTGAATAAAGCAGACGGACCTGATTTGGTAGAGTGACTGTGAAGTTACACTAAAACAATTAATATTCTAAAATATCAGCTGCAGTCAGAAACTAAGCTGGCAAATATCAAAGCAATTTACAACTCTGTATAGCTGAATACATGTGAGAACACACAAACACACCCCTGAACATATGTGTTGGCAGAAGTCAAGGGTTGTTTATAAAGAATTATAATTTTTTAGCTAAAATATTTAATAACTGTTTTGTTGCCAGGCTAAAAAGTACCAGTGTGGCAAATCCACTATTACTGATGTGAAATCTTTCTCCTCCATTATATTTCTACAAATATTTCCTGTTATGAACTGGAAGATCATTCTTTGTAATTTGTATGACGTTTTGCTGGTTTCGTTCATTTGTGTTTATGCCTATGTGTAAAGGAGACTAATATCATTTGAGTTTCTTCAGAACTACAGTTAAGTAATATGCACAAAATTCAATCAAATGCATTTTTGACAATTGCTAGATTTTGTTTTTCCACTAATACATAAATGAAGTAGAACTTGCCAAACTGAAACCTTGGCTTGGTTTATTCTAATGAGTTTATTGTATGTTTTATACAGTTCCTTCAGTGTCTTTTGCCTTTTGTTTTTCAGTGCTTAGTCCTAAACAATCACCTCCCATGAGGCAAAACTGTTGACATTTCTCTAAGCATATGCAGACTTTCCAAAACTGTTTCTTGATACTGGCAGAATTGTATAAATTTTAAGTATTTTTCAAAGAGCTCTTTGTTGAGGACATGTGATGCTTGGGGCAGAGAGGGAAATTTATGGGCTACCAGACATTGCACGGTATTTAAATTTCCTTAGTGATTGCAAGCATATGAAAATACTTTATGAACTCCCCTGAAACAAGAAAATGTGTTTTAAGAGAAAAAAAAAGGTACCATACTAGAAAAGCCTATAAGACTCATGTCACTAGGAAGCAAAATTACTGAAGTATTTTCAGAAAAGAATGCTTACCTCAGTACATTAACAGATATTTTTTTTGTATCCTACCCACTTGTTATTACTGTGAGTGTGTTCTTCTCTCTTATTCAGAAACACTGATATACTGTGAAATTTAGTACTTTTTGCCTGTCTTCTAAGTAAGGCAATAGCAGGCTGATATAATTTCTAACAAAACAGAAACATGAATGAGATTCTTAGTACCAGAGTAAGTGAAAAAAAATCACTTTATCAGCATTATTTTTACCAGTTGCTTCAAAACCACTGTGTTAATAAATTAGGTTATGGAGACTTTACTGTATCATGGAAAATATCTTCGAACTAGACACAAACACTTCTTAAGATGCATTAGAGGCCAACACAGGTGTTTCCAGCAGCAACACACATTAGCCCTCACTTTTATTTTCTTTTTAAAGTGCTATTTTAATTATCTCAATATGTTTTCCCTAAGAAGTAGAGCAGCTTATGCAATCCACCAAGTCCTGAGATCATACCCAGTATGCCAGTTGTTGCAGAAGTGGGAAGCAATCAGTAGTGGAGATATGTAAGTATGCTTCTATGTCACTTGAAAAAAAAATGGTTTAAGAATGGGAAGCTGGAAGGAAACATGGGCTGAACAGAACAGTAGAGGTTTGTAAATCTGAGAAAATGGAGGACCAAAAGCAGTAGGGAATTAGAGAAAAATACAAGTGTCAATCTTTCAACAGGAACACAGACAAAGAGAAAACCAACAGGAAACCATCCCTCAAGGAATTTTACAGTTGCAGCTTTTTAAGAGGATATGGCAAGGGGAATGTTATGTAGCAAAGCTTTCAAATTAATTGCTGAAGGATTGCAGAGAGAAACTATCTTTGGCAGAAGAAAAAGGCTGAAGTGATAGTAAGAGACAAATACGTCAGTATCATTAAGATTTTTTAGCAGAAAAAACTTACTGTGGAAGCTCATGAACCCCTTAACTGGAGAGCTGCAGGATCATTGGATAAATATTCATTTGGTGCTGCTTGTAAATGTAAATAAGCTACACTGCATCTGTGTTTCAAACTTACTTTTCAATAATGCTGTGGAAAAGTTGCCTAGAATTTTGAACACTGGTCTTTTTGCATCATTATAGAACAGGTCAGAAAGCCACGATCTCTTACTTAATTAACAGTTCAGGAAAAGGCATTAACTTTGAATTAAGTAACTTAGAAAACAGAGGCGCTGCCTTCACAAAATTCATATTTAAAAGATGCTTTTTGGTTAAGCTGACTATTCTGATCAACTTTCACAGGGCAACAGCACAAGTGTACTGTCTCTTGAGAAGGGATCCTCTGGGCAGACCCACTGCCCTACTTTCAAGCTGACACTTTTAGCAAATAAAAAAAATGCCAAGCAGCCTTCAAATAAAGCCAGAGTCCTAACTCTCAAGAAATTTTGGCTGTGTAATTTGAGTACAAGTGGGGGAAAACAAAAATGCCTCAGGTACTTGCCTGCTGAATTCCTGTTCCTCTGGAAGATATTATTCATCTGATCCCTTTGTAAACATAAATGGTTAGAACTAAATAAAGCTGTCAACATTTGAGAATAAACAGTAGAACAGTAAAGTTAAACAGCTGAGGCATTCTCTATATACCATTGTACACATTCATTTTTTAGAGATGTGGATGCTACTGGTCTTTCTAGTCTATTGATTCTGTAAATATAAAGAGAAGCAGGAGAAGATGGATGATGCAATTATTTACTATTGGTACCAAAATAGTGAGCAGGTAAAAATAAAAAAACATGTAAAGGTGTATACTTCTTGTTCAAAAGAAATAAAATCTGAGAACTTATGTGATAAGTGTGCATTAGAAGGTAAAATGGAAGAAACAAATTTTTTCCCAACACATTGTTCTTGCAGGTAGACGTATCCTAGTTGAACACTTGTAGAAATACAAACATCTTGAATCCTTGCTATGCCTGAGAAGGATGGAATAGCCATTAAGACTGATTTCAGGTGGTTTTGATAGGCACAGAACAACTAAGGTAAAGAGACAACATAAACTATTTTAGAAGATATAAATTATCCTTTAGGAACATGTCATTCCTGCAACTATTTGGTTTCCTTAGGCATCACGGAAATTTAGAGATACTGATAAGTTTGCAATATGAAATAAGAATATATTATTCTAGGCTTAAACTTAATATAGTGATACTTAATACAGAAACGAAAATAATCAGGTGATCACCTATGCAGAAGCTTAACTGAGTTGAACTGTGCATCTTGTTTGTCAGTTTTTGCTGGATGGGTTGTGTGCCCAGTGCAGCAGTTATACAACATGAGGAATGTTGTCTTGGAGGGTCCAAGGCACCAAGGTTTTAGGGTAAATGTGTGCCACAGAGCACTGTCATACGCTGGTCATTCTGAGCATTTTGTGGTTCCTTTCCATCATTCACATGTGGTTACCCTTCCAGAAGAGGAGAGCTGGTGTTCTTCATGTCCAAGATGCATTCTGATAACAAGCTGAGAAATGGCCAACACACGTGCTGGGGCTTGGGAATGCTCTGCAGCATAGATATCTATCCCTGTTGGCCATGCAGCACATTCTGAAGTCGTAACTTGTTTTGATTTTTATGAAAGATATTGCTCTTTTATCTATTGTAACCTACATCTGGAAGGAAACAAAAGCTTATCAGTACATATTCTAAATGTAAAGTTGGCTCAGAAGATTGTTAAACTACAGCCACTGCCAGTCCTTTAGGGGGGTGGGTGTGTATGTAAAAGTAAATGGGAAAAAAAACAGCAGTTGTTGAAACTGGGTAAATGAAGAAAAGGAGCTTAGTGTGCTTCCAAAAGGAAATGAAGAGCTGGAATGTGATATTTAAATACACTTTTATAAGTGCACATTTGTGCTTGCAAGTAAAATGGGAACAGATGTACCAATTCGATCAAAGCTATTTATCTATAGATGGAGCTGTTTCCAGATGATGGCAGGCATTAGTAGGATAACAGGGCGGGTAAAATGGGCATCAATGCCTACCCTTCAGTTTACATTAGATTATTTCAAGAGCCTCTTACAGACAGTTCTGATAGGAGTGCCAGGGCAGGTGTGGAAGTCACAGGAGGAGCAGACCCTGGGGAAGGGCTGTTGGAGTGACCGGAGCTCTCGGCACAGTGTGAGCTGGTCTGTAAGTCCTGAGCACTGCATATGCCTCCTGCTGCTTTTCTGGACACCCAGGAGGGAGACAGCAAGGAAATCCTTGGCCTTAGGAAGGAGAGGTATTCCAGTGGCTCCAACAGGGTACAGAGGGACTCCCCTAGACCTGCAGGTGTTGGTAGTAACAAGGGCTGGGTGTCAGCACCTTTGTGTTCCTCATCATCCAAGGGATGGGTCTGTGTGGGCTGCTTGGGAATGAGCATCTGGGCACCTGGCTTCCAGCCAGGCCAGATGGGGATATGCCTCCTCATGCTTGGGAGAATTTGGGCATAAGAGTCAGTTGTGTGACATCAGTTTTGCTTTCAAACAAGAAATACCCTTCTATTCTTATCAAGTGGTTCACTGGGATTTGCTGCTTTGCTACAGGTGTTGCAATATTGTCTTAGACTCTCAAATTCTGGGAAATAAAATGTGTTGAGTGAACTCCTGCCCTCTCCCCCCTGTTTTTTTTAAACTGGATGATATTTTAAAAATATGTTCAGCGAGAATAAACAAAATATTCAGCAGTTAGAAGTGTATTGAATTCCATAAAATGGGATACTGAAAAGCATATACCTGACTTTGTTTGAAATAGCTACATTATTTTGAAAATATTATTGTCTCTTGTAGCCTGCATCTTCAGGGGGAAAAAAAGAATATTCAACTTTGCATTTTATTCTGAAAAGGTAAGCATCCCTTTCTGTTTCACTTCTTTTTGGATACACTGAAATTCTGGAAAATTCTGAGAAGTTTCTTCTTTTTGTTGGCCAGTTACAAGTATGTTCATAATTAACCAAGTAGATGTAAGAAAAGTCTTTGCACAATTAAAATTAATGAAGGATATCCTCTCCACTCCCTTTATCGCTAAAGCTTTATTTTGACATATGGTATTACTTTTTATACTGGCACTCAGGCTTCTTGCACAAATGGAAATGAAGACCTAAGTAGCCACCAGCATTTTTAGAAAGATAAGTGAGAAGTATTTTGGATTTTTTGGCTATTTAAGTGCCTAGCATATGTTACAGCTTATTTTATAAAAAATATTTGAAAAAGAAAGCAAGCACTTCTGTGACTTTTTTCTGTTTTGTTGGTTTGGTTTTTTTTTTTCCCCTCCCACATATCTTAGCGAAACTTTAATAAATTTAAAAAAAAAAATCTTAAGTAAGTTTTGTTCCTGTAAATTCTGGACTTCAGTGCTCTAGAAGGTATTAAAAATTATTAGGAAAATACATGAAATGTCCATCTTTCTTGTGCAAACACATTTACAAATAGCTCTGCTTTCTTTTGGGCTCTTGCAGACCTATGTAACTGAACTAATTCAGGTGTCGGTTACTTAGGCACGTGCAGTATGAGTTATTTGGGGTGTCCAATGCATGACCAGTTCTTGGAGCACATTAAATGCTTACAAAGCATTGAAGGTACCAGGAAATATGGTACTTAATGCTCAACACAGTCTTTGGTTTGGTTTGTACTAAGCATTCCTAGAAAAAATTTCGCTGTCTAATGAGGTGAACGTTATGTGTTCATTTACTTGCCCAGGGCCTTTTTGATGAAAGATTTGATGCAATTGCAAAGTACTAGTATTTTTACCAGAGCAATTAGGTGTTTTAAAGTTGGCTAATTACTATTTCAGTGAGGGTGAGGATGTAATTTTTTGCATCACCTCCCCATGGCAACCCACCTAAACCTATCAGGAGGATGATTAAAGGAGCTATCTCCAAAGCCCCTGCTGCAAGGATCCACCTCAAGACTTTTTAACCACATTACAATACTGAAAGTACCTAAGATTACTTCCTCCTGTTTACTTTTTAATCAGTTACCTATATGTGATCTCATTAAAACTGCATAAACTATACTAAAAAGTCATAGATGAGTTCCAGGCACTGATTTAAATCTTGAGTATGGATTTTGTTAGTCTTTTTTTTTTTTTTTTTTTTTTTTGTTAGAGAGATCTTAGTAAGGAAAGGGATGCCTTGTAGAGGAAATAAAAACTTGCAGTCTTTCTTCTCTAACCCCTGCTGAATAATTCAAAAGTTTTGTTTCTCTATCTCAGGTTAAGAATTATCTGTTAGACTTCCTGATAACTGACTTTTACCCTTGGAAACATGAAGAACTTATGGAATTTGTTATTCTGCAAGTAGAATCTGATGGGACAGTTGCAGGTGGGCATTTTGAAGAAAGGATATGCTCTATGTTAGTGTATAAAAAAAATAATCCAGAGTTTCTTAAGAATTCTCATTTTTGCCATGTTTTAAATTCTGTTAATTTGGTAATTTAACTCTGAGTGTTTCCAAACATATTTGTTGAAGGATGTTGTCATTGGGCATGGTTTCTCTTGCCTTTTCTTACTTTTATTCCATGTATTAAGTATAGTGTATTTCATACAATTTTTTTCTATAAAATCAGTCTAAATTTAATCTGTTTGTTTAAGGCCATAGAAAATTTATCAAATTTAATATATTAGTAAGTGACTGTTGTTATCAAAATTCTGTAGCCTTGTTGAAATGATATCTAGATCCAGATATTTCCTAATGCTGTAGCAAAGGCTATGTCTGCTTGGCAGTGACATTATTTAGCGAGAAGAAAAGTTGACATCAAAGTTTGTATTGAGAAGACTGTGCAGAGAAACACTAAACTCCAGTTCCTTCTAGTAATTATCCCTGGAAAAGAAATGATTACATGCTTCCTGGTGTGTTGATTTTGGCTCTATTATGAGGGGTCTTTAAGTCCTCATGACTTGAGTGCGAGGTGAAAGCACTCTGCACAAAAGCTGCTTTGGAAGTCTTCCACCAAGCTGTCAGAAAACCTTCGTTAAATGTTTGTGAAGCTGAGTCCTCTTCATCTTCTTTTAAATATGCCATGCTGTGTGTAGGTGTGACTTTTACCAAGTTTTTTAATGTGCTGTGAATATAATTAATAGACATTTCTCACAATATACAATTTTGCACTATATAACAAATAGTAAACTTAGGGGAGATCAGAAAAGATGAGATGGGTTTATGGAAAGCAAGTCTCCCTCCTGTTTCCAAGTACCATGAACATGCCTGAACAAAATAAGGATGGGGTGGAGAGATGCAAGATCTGGGAGGTGGATAACAGCTCTGAGGTTTTAATAAATGACTGTAGTTTGGGCTCTGACTTCTGACTGTGTTCCATGTGTTTCAGCCATTGAAAAAGTATTTGTGGAGGGAGTGTGTGTTCAGTCTGTCCTCTGCATCACAGCAGTTGTGTACCCAGTGCTGATAGGCTTGGAAGTAGGGTGGGGATTTTTTCACAGATAACCTTTCCCAAATTATTAGTTTGTTACTTTCTAAACCTTTCACTAAAATGATCAGCTCAAATATTTCTTTAGTATTATTATTTCTTTTAGAGTAACTGGTAAATATGTATGTTGAGGGGTGTGTGTAATCTGTCTATACCTGATGCTCTGTGTACTGTTACTACTCTTATTTAAGTCTGTGCTGCTGAGGATTTCTGTAGTATAATGTAGTGGGTTTCTGTGGCTGGGTTTGGTAGTGGGGGGGCTACAGGGATGGCTTCTGTTAGAAGCTGCTAGAAGCCCCCCCTTTCCCATGGAGCTAATGCCAGCCGGTTCCAGGATGGGTTTCCTGCCACTGGCCAAGGCCAAGTCAATCAGGAGTGACAGTAATGCCTCTATGATAACATATTTAAGAACAGAAGATTGTTGTGCAAAAAGAATTCCAGGCAGGGAAGAGTGGAGTGAGAACATGGGAACAACAATGCACACACCAAGGTTAGTGCAGAAGGAGGGGCAGGAGGTGCTCCAGGTGCCAGAGCTGAGGCCCTGCAGCCCCTGGCGCAGACCATGGTGGGGCAACTGTGCCCATGGGGGACCATTGGGGTGCAGAGACCCGCCTGCAGCCCTTGGAGGAGCCCAGGCTGGAGCAGGTGGATGCATGAAGGAGGCTGTGACCCCATGGGAGGCCCAAGATGGAGCAGGGTCCTGCCAGAGACCTGCTGGAGCAGGCTTTTCCCAGGTAGGACTTGTGGCCCCTGTGGGGGACCCACATTGGTACAGCTCATTCGTGAAGGACTGCATCCCATGGAGGAGTGACCCACGGGACAGCAGTTTGGGAAGAACTGCTACCTGAGGGATGGACTCACGCTGGAGAGGACTGTCTCCAGCATGACATCAAGGACTGTCTCCCGTGGGAGGGACCCCACAGAAGCAGGGGAAGGACTCCTCTCTTTGAGCAGAGGCAGAAACAACAACTGACCACAACCCCCATTCCCCATCCCCCTGTACCGCTGGGGGCGAGGAGGAGAACATGGAAAGAAGGAGGGGTGGGAGGAAAGTGTTTTTAATACTGTTTTATTTCTCACTCTTTGGCACTTATCCTGGTAGTAATAAATTTAAGTACGGTTCCCACTTTGAGTCTGTTTTACCCGTGAAGGTAATCAGGCACTGACCTCTCCCAGCTGTTATCTCAACTCATGGATCCTTAGCTGTTTTTTTTCTTTCTTCTCTGTCCAGTTGCAGAGGGAGAGTGAGAGAGTGGCTTTAGTGGGTACCTGATATTGGGCCAGGGTCAACCCACTACATATACCAAAGCTGATGAAGTCTTAGAAAAGGAATCAAGATTTCAACTTCAGAAAGTGCTTCCAAATAAGCTGGAAAAGTCTGAGAAAGAAAAGAAATATAGGTAGATTTCCAGATGAGAAAAGAATAAGGATGACAATAGTATACAAAAAACCTCGCTGCCACCACCCCCAACACACCCCACCCCATCAACCAGAAATGCCCCAAAACCTGCCTTCAGAAAATAACAGTGATGACTCTAAATGCCTAAATTCATGATTGCAAGAGACATCTCCACGGTTTTGCGTATGCATTTATGACTTCAAGGTAGAATTTAGAAATGGGCAGGGTAACACCTGGATCTCCCATGGAGCTGGTGACTGTTCAAAGTTTGGCCATCACAAACTGATAACTCAATTTCTTATGCAATTTTGTTGTGAAGCCGTGGTAGGGGGACCTAACCTACTCGAAACAGCCCAGGAGTTAAAGGGCTTTGACTGGAAGAGGAGACCTGGATTAAAACTAAGTGTTTAAATGTGCGTATCCTAGCAGTGCACCAATAATCATCAGTCCATAGGGATTTTCCTCTCTTGCTCTGCTACTGGGTAGAAGAGAATGAAAGATTAATATGGCCAGATGGAAAGTAGTCAGTATTTCTGGTTCCAAATAAGTGAAATTCTTTTGCATTTTAATATTAAGCAACCACTGAAATAAAAAAGACTTTGTTTGAGGAGAAAAAAAAAAAAAGTAGGTTTTTAATGTACTTGCCTCTGGTTGATCTCCAGAGGAAGCTTTTTTTCATCTATATATTAGTTTGTTCTGATGTTATGTCAGTCATTTCTGTTGCATACAGGAGGCATGATTTTACATATGGCTTATGTATTCTCACAGAGAAACATTATTTGTTTTCCTGCAGGGAGTTTTCAAAAAAAGTCTTTTATTTTAAATTGTAAAAGTGTATAGGGTATATATGAGATACAAAGCTTACCAAGCGAATTGAGCAAAGATGATTTTATATTTTTTCCTTTTTTTTCTTACCCTCTACCTTTTTTTTTAACTAAGTATTGAATTACAAAAGACAGGTGCAAAAAAATTTTTATCATG